TTCCTCTTCAGAATTGCTATGTTAAGTTTTTACCTATCTCCTTTTGCTCATCGGGAAACTCTACTCTGCAAGAGTGTCCATTAAAATAATATTTTTAAATGGAACAAAAAAGTGATCAATGTAGATTATAAATTCCCATACTTTACTCTTATAAACCCACTTTACAATAATATTCCATCTCATTTAGTTTTTGAGATATAAGCCCGCAAACATGGTACCTAATGCTGCAACACGCTGTATAATAAATAATCAATTCATACAATTGTAAAATATATAAATTTTATGGGATTTAGCAATTTATATTAAAAATTAAATTACCAGCAGTTTTATATTGTATCAAATATTGTATTGTATTTTATATTGTATTGGATATATTAAATTAATTTTGAAATTTTTAATTGCAAAAAATAGATCAAGGAAATTTATTTTAAGTGTTTTAAAGCCTTCTTAAGTTTAAATACAGTATGTGTTTTTAAAAAAGTGTAAGATTAGTGTAATACGAAAAGCAATATTTTTGAATAACTCCAAAGTTTTATAACAAAAAATATTTTTCATATAAAAGTTGAATAGACTATTGAATAGCAAAACCAAAACCCTAAAGAATTTCTCAAACATAGACTCGTATATATGAAACATACATTTAATGATAGGTTTGAGAAAGTATTGACTGAAGCACTGAAATCGTCTTTCCTATGAATTACACAAAGGAATGGTTAGCGAGAACTGAGAGGAATACACGTTCAGCTATACTATGGGTCACCACATCCACCCATCCCTCTCCCTATATCTGCACTAACTTTGCAATACTTTTTCTACATATTGTTCAGTATATTAGCATGGTAAAATTAAATAAGATAATCATGGTGAAATAAAAATACAAGAAACCAACAAAATATAAGATGTAGTATAAGTTTAAGCCGAAGTTGAGTCTACTTTTCTAACTCATGGGGTAATACAGCGAGTGTTGTGTTAAGTATAGTCCGTAAGTCTAATGTCATTCTCCTTTGAAGCACAGAAATGAGTGAAAAGCAAATAACAATAATAATAACGTAAATCGCTTTTAGGGCCATAAAAATAAATTACAGGCTTTAGTAGTTGTACGCACTCTCTCTCCACACCACACTCTATCCGGCAGTACAGTCGGCGTACAACTCTTGTAGACACCATCTCCCATAGACTATGAATGCATTCGCTATGCATGGCATTAGCATTGGTTGTCCACAACGAATACCGTGTGCTGTGAACGCAATCCATAGCAACCCAATGGCAACAATTAAAACACATTATTGTTATGATTATTGTTATTACAGTTTTGTGGGTCTCTTATCATACGCTGCAGTGTATGTCTCATCGATGGTGTGACGGGACATGAATCAGATGTGTGACCTCCGCAGGGGTAGGGGTAGGCCCCGAAAGTTTGACAAAAGCGGACAGGTATTCATTTGCGACTGGATGGGCTGCGACAAGAAGTTCAACCAGAGGTATGTGTCTCACCAGTCAGTCCACACTTTTTGGTCCACATTTCATTCAATTGTCTTTGTATTCAATCATAATTACCATCACTTGTGCTAATCATGTGTTTGTCTTTTCTATTCACAACTATAGCTGTAATCTAAACAAACATTTATTAACGCATTCAGGTATTTGGCATTTCATTCATTCATTCATTAGTTTTTCATTTAGTTTTCAAACTATTTATTAATTATTAATTTAATTGATTTTATAATTTGTTTAATATTTTGTTAGTCATTAGTTAATGATATTTAGTCTTGTGTTGAGTTACGCTCATATAAATTGTACGATAATTTAATGATACCATTTGTGAGACTTAATTGAATTACTAATTGTTATACTGTATGGGTTTAAACACCCGGGTGTCCACTGGTGTAGGGGATCGGCCGTTTGCGTGTGACTGGCCTAACTGTGGCATGTGGTTCACGCAGTCATCCAATCTGAATAAGCACTACTTGACCCACACGTATGTGTTGACCACTTTAGCGCACAATCCATGGTTTGTTAACTGAATATTTGATACGATTAGAAACGAACGGCCCTTTCGGTGCAATTGGCCCGACTGTGACAAGCGATTCAAACAGTCGTCTAATCTCAACAAACACCGACTCGTCCACACCGGTAGCTAATTGTGTTTGGAATGTGCTTTGCTGTGTCATTACTAAAACCAATTGTATTATCAGGTGAAAAGCCATACTTCTGTGACTTTCCTCAGTGTCTGAAGAAGTTCTCGCAATCGAGTAATTTAAAGAAACATAAATTAGTTCATTCAGGTATGGCTTCTAATACATTATCTACTGTAGAACCAGGGTATTCACTAATATAAAGATTGTATAATAATTAATTGATTCAGTTTTATACTTTCAATAACTTATGAATTGTTGTTTATGTCCCAAAACCAGGAGAGAAACCATTCAAATGTCATTTCAATGGATGCGGGAAACTGTTTGACCAAAGCTGTAATCTGAATAAGCATTACTTAACGCAGTAATTATTATTTTGATACAATTGTCCTTAAATTATTGTTTTATGTAATTTGAATGTTAACTTAATTTTGCAATAATTTTTGCCGCGCCTGTAGTATTGGCCACAAACCATATACGTGTGATTACCCGGATTGCGGTGAAAAGTTCTCGCAGTCGTCGAATCTGTCGAAACACTACCGAAGCAAACACTCGTCGATTCCATCGACCCATTCGGTGACCAACAGTGCGGGCGATGACGACTCCTCACAATTCATTAAATGTGATGTCAATAATTGTGATGTAATCCTAAGCCAACCCACAAACCCATTCATCGGACACAAGACTAAGTTCACGAACGAGACCAATGAGGCCATGAAAGACACGCACGTGAATAGCGGTGACCATCAGAGCCAACATAGGAAACGGGAGACCAGTATTGCGGCCATAGCTCTGGTCAATGAGTTGGAGGCGGCGGCAGCTCATAGACTGTGTCCCACCAATCGGTTCACATTCGAGACATTGCCTCTCAGTTTGAATTTGAGTTGAGGTTTGATTGCAATCAACAGTTTGTTTAACGACTAGACATTGGTTTACTTCAAAGTACTCGAAGTTCTCTCTCATGAATGAGTTCCTCTCAAATTGGTTAACATTTAATGACTTTTTTGTTTAAAATAAAATCAATTGTAATGAAAGCATTGAATTTATAAAAGCTTTCGTGATTTTATAACTGAATTCAATGTATGTGTTTGTCGACTATTTTAATGAGCGCTTTTAAAGCAATAATTATTTATTTTTATTGTAATTACTATTAAAGTTAATTCCATTATATTTAGTGCAACAAATTTTTTATATGTTTTTTCTGTGTATATATTAATAATTGTATATTTGATTTCTAATGCTTTTGTGCTCACATTTTTGTAGTGAAAATATTTAAAATTATATCATTATTTATCATAATTTCTGAGATTTTTATGCCGTTACCGGTAAACATTCAGATAATTACTATAAAATCTAATATATTATAAAATACTGTGTAATTTGAAAACTAATTACGGTATTGCATTAAAATAAAATAAAACCATTGATTTTCATTTGATTAGAAAAATTTATTTATTAATTAAATTAATTTTTATATAATTAAATAATATAAATAAATTATTTAATATTTTATAAAGTGATCGTATTGATGATTAACAGGTACACAATTATTTTGAATACAGAATCTTTTTACTAGACTTTTTACAGAATCTTCTGAGTATTTTATAGAACTATACTCAAGCTAAAATTCAGATGGTTAAGTTCAAAGTTCAGTTAAATTTAGATACCATTATACTAAGTATTAATTTTGTAGTTAAGTAGTGTATTTTAATCTACTTACTTTTTAGAGTATTCTAATAATTATTATCTTAAAAATAATGTTTATCATATTAGAATTTATATTTAAAATTAGTTATCATTTGTTATAAATTTGTAAATTTTTGTATATAATTTTGTGCAAAATCTTGTGAGTATTCAAGTTAGTGCTTAGTGAATTAAATTGTGATTATGATTTCATTATGAGTAAACTATAAATTATTTCTAAATATTTGTATAAAACTATAAAAATATAACTTAAAACAAAACTAGATATAGTAACTAAAAACTAACTTTCCTCAATAGATAAGCTTTTGCCGTTTGGATGACTACTACTACTATTAGTACTCTTTTCTAATAATTTAATTTCATTTTTCTTGTCGTCCTCTTCATTGTCATCATCCAAAAGATTCTTCAGTCTATTCGACAGAACAATGATTCCGATGTCAAACACTGAGCCTAATATCATGAACCCAAACGCTGCTCCGTGTAAATAGACCCTGAACTTGTCAACGTCATAAAGCCAACAGTTGCCTGTTTTACCTATATTTTTACATTGTTAATAAATTACAATGATATGAATATAAGTTGAAACAAATTTAAATTATGAAAATCTATAAATTAATATTTCAAAAGCATTAAAATTATGATAAAAATTCCTAAAATATGTTGTGATATACACGTGATTTTAACGTTATTGACTTCTGTTGAGATAATCTCTAGAAAATTAATAATTAAATAAATATCTGGGTTTTACTGACTTGTGAGACATTAGACTCACAGTAACCAAGAATTTGATATAAAATGATATATAGTATCGATAATTAAAATCAATATTTGTTTAAATTGTGAAAAATGAAGACAACACTCACCACATGATTCTTCCCACACAAGACATGTTGAGTCCGTTATGGCTCCGAATATTAAGGGATACGGTATGAAAGCTGCCATTAAACATACAATTTAATTAAATAAAAATTTGTATTACAAATTAAGAATTAATATAATATTTAGAAATTAATAATCATTACCAAAAACAGCGAAAAAGCTGCCTATTATTCCCATCGCAAAGCTTTTATCTTTAGGATCAACACATCTTTTATAAAAAAAAATTAACACATATTATATAAAAGTGTAATTTTATACAAGATTTTTAGTCAATACCTTAATGTAATTAAAGTATTTCCCGTGCGGGCAGTCGACGCAATCATTGATCCCAAACTTAATATAATTATAAATATGGGGAAATTATTACAATCTGTGGGACAGTAACCGAGATTTTTAGTCAATACCTTAATGTAATTAAAGTATTTCCCGTGCGGGCAGTCGACGCAATCATTGATCCCAAACTTAATATAATTATAAATATGGGGAAATTATTACAATCTGTGGGACAGTAACCGCTTTGAGCTGTATTTATGTCACTCGTCACACAACTACAGTCGCTGAATGTCTAGAAGTTAATAAAAATTTTATGAAATCAATATAATTACATAAGAATTGTCAATTTGTAATTACAATAGGTTTTGTTGTCCTGTCGATAGTCTTACAGCCGGCAAAACATGGAGAGAAATATGTGGACAAACCATCGGATGAACAAATTGGTTGATACACTCGTGTGGAGCAGTCACAGCCAAAGTTACAACTGTTCGCTAAAGATATTCTGTTGAATACAAGAATATATTTACATTAAAATGATTAAAATGCTTTCAACAAAAAATCATACTTTCCGTCCAATAAAGCACTGTTAGGAAAGACAGGTGCCGGACATCCCAAGAACATGGCTGAGAAGATGGCAAAACTGGCGACCAATTCCACGCAAAACATGAATATAACGAGTGGTCGCGGTTTAGGTTTAAAATATTTGATAATAACTCCGCCGCCCATTATTCCTATAGCCATAGTTACCACACTTGTCGACCCTTTTTATGGTAAATAATATGTCATAAAATTCAGTATTTATAATTGAATTGATATGAAAATACCAGTGAAAAAGCTGGCCCCAGAAGCTGACTGTCTGTATTGCATTTCCATGTACTTTGGTTTGAATATATAATACCCGAAATAACCGAAAACCCTGAAAATTCCGGCCAAAGCGTGAAATATGAGAATCGGATTCTTAAACAACCTCTTCAGTGCTATTTTGATTTCTATATAAAATAAGACATTAAGATATAATTCATTTTAATTTAGAATTTTTAACTTTAATACCTTTAGGTTTTGATATATTCTTTGTATTCTCGGAATTGTCATTCAATTCCTCCAAAGCATCAGATCCTTCAGTATTGTCATCAATGGTAGCACTCGTATCAATGGTTGTGTCCATTGGTGGCGAACCTTTGAAACGTTTGGGAAACATAAACATCGGTAAAGTGAAGACTAATATTGAACACCCAAGAACTAGAAAGCCAATCCACCAAGCTCCCACCTAATTTACCATATATCATAATATTTATTGAATTTGATAATACAATGTTTATCTGAAGGCTTACCCATCTAGGATCATTTGTATTAATGTGAGGGTCATCTTTGTGATTAAAGTTATAATAAATTTTAATGTAAGGCAATAAATCAATCATAATTATCTTATATAAGACTTACAAAGTGGGTCTTCGTACCAGGCTAATGATATAGAACTTAATAGAAAACCTAATACAGGTCCACACAATCGGAGTGTCGCAGTCGTACCTATTAGTAAAGTTTTAAAACTTTATTATAAGTTTCTATATAAAAGAATTTAATTAAATATAATTAATTAAATATTAAATTAAATACTTATATAAAGTGGAGAATTCTTTTTCTGGACGTTATCGTCAATATAAGGCAAACCAATGGTATAAAAAGCTGTATATCCCATCCCATTGGCAAAGCTTGATAGCCATAGTATAACAACTGCTAAATAGACTGTATTATGTCCACCGGACTCGCACTCACCATCCAATTGAGTGGACGGACACCAAGCTCCCACCTAATTTACCATATATCATAATATTTATTGAATTTGATAATACAATGTTTATCTGAAGGCTTACCCATCTAGGATCATTTGTATTAATGTGAGGGTCATCTTTGTGATTAAAGTTGTAATAAATTTTAATGTAAGGCAATAAATCAATCATAATTATCTTATATAAGACTTACAAAGTGGGTCTTCGTACCAGGCTAATGATATAGAACTTAATAGAAACCCTAATACAGGTCCACACAATCGGAGTGTCGCTGTCGTACCTGTTAGTAAAGTTTTAAAACTTTATTATAAGTTTCTATATAAAAGAATTTAATTAAATATAATTAATTAAATATTGAATTAAATACTTATATAAAGTGGAGAATTCTTTTTCTGGACGTTATCGTCAATATAAGGCAACCCAATGGTATAAAAAGCTGTATATCCCATCCCATTGGCAAAGCTTGATAGCCATAGTATAACAACTGCTAAATAGACTGTATTATGTCCACCGGACTCGCACTCACCATCCAATTGAGTGGACGGACACCAATGGTATAAAAAGCTGTATATCCCATCCCATTGGCAAAGCTTGATAGCCATAGTATAACAACTGCTAAATAGACTGTATTATGTCCACCGGACTCGCACTCACCATCCAATTGAGTGGACGGACAGGTTTCGTATTGCGTAACGTTTGAAACCATATCAGTCTTAGATAGTAAATGTAACCCTGGACCATATATGAAGTATGGGAATGCGCTCATTATACAAGAAAGCGCCACAATTAACTCCCCAAAGGCTATCAACTGAGATCTATTGTATTTAGCACCCAGGTATCCAACAACGGGACTTATGAACATTTGGCTTAAATTATCAGCGATCAATATAAATCCAGAGACTTTGCTTTCAAATGCAAATCGTTTTTCGAGTGTAGAAATGGATCCGATTAAGTAAGTAAAGTAAGCCCCTTGTAGTATAGCTACTACTGAAAAGTTTATGACAAAGAATTTGGTGGTGGCAAACATTTGTAGCCATTGCGGCCTCCAGTTCCCAATACCACACGATGTCTCGTAATCGATGTCCGATTCTTCATCAGTTACTGTCGATCTGTAAACTTCTTTGTGTTTCGCAACCATTTTTAGTTCACTTTTCACAAAGAATTTTATTAAGTATTAATATGACATTGAAGTTAATAAATGCTTCATAAAAATCATTAACAGTAAAACTTTAGCCAAAAATTCATATACTTTTGTTGAAATTCATACACTTAATGTAAAAACTTTTTTGCTCTTAAAATAATTCTCACAAACTTTCATAAGAGTCAATATATTTTCTTATCTAATCCTACGTTCAGATGTTTTCATAAGAATCTTAAGTTTTTATGTAATTACTAATGTTTCATAGGCTCACAAATGGTATAATAAATGTATTTAGAAATTCATATTTAAATTGTTTTGCTTTTGAAGACTTATGAAGACATAAGTACTTTGGAATCAAATCCCTATCACTACTCCTATCGTTAAATTTATTGATAAAGAGTTCAAACACTCATTGAATTCAAACAAATGTTGACATATTATCTAATATTCATTAAGTTATCATTAATTACTCAATAATACTGAAGAGAAGTGAAAATCAATCCAATAATTGCTTAATTATACTCATTAAAGGAATTGATTCATTAGATTTTTCTCCTACTGATTGAGTAAAACTATAAGATATTTAATACTTGAATATAAAGTATTGATTATTACGGTATAACTTACATAATTTATAAACACTATAAATTATCGACGAGTTAATATTTGTACAATATTTAAAAATCAAATCAATTTAATTCATATAAGTTTTAATCAGTCAACGTACACTACCTATACTGTACTATGAATTATGTTGTAGTATTAAACTAAATATTAAACTAAATACAGTATAAAAGTAATTGATCATTTTATTGATTTTAATAACCATTTATAAAAAATAAAATATACACAAATTCCAGATATAATAATTAAATAATTTTATATTTAATAGTTTGCGGTTCAGTTAATTTGGAAATCTTGCCTTCTTTGACCAATTTGTCCAAATGGTGGCAAACATTGAATTCCGCGGCTCTATGTAACTGTTCGGACACATCCTTTGCACACATGTTTAGATAATTGTAATCATATTTTAGCAAAACATTTACAATACTGTAGGACTGTATGAGTGTATACCTTATAAACAATTTTGACGATTTCCATTGATGTCAACGCTTTGTCCGTATCTCTCATTACTTTAAGGATCTGTTGTTCCCTTAGCTCCCGGTGTGAGATATACTCTTCAATTCTGGCGATGGGTTCGTCCACAGCTGGTCCGTGTCCGGGGTATATGACCCGTGGCTTCAATCCTAAGATCACTTTCAGTGAATTCATATAAGTGTAGAGGT